AATAATGATAATAACAACAATAATCATAACAATGAAGAAAATGATAATACAATAGCAGTATTAATAATAAAATAATAATAATAATTATAAGACCAACTATAATAATGATTATAACAATAACAATGATGGTAATAATTATCACTATATCATTATACTCCTGTGTTATTACTATTATCATTATCACAATTAACTATATAATCATTATTATCGTTATCTTTATTATTATTATTACTGTTACAATTATTTCTATAATCAGTATTATCACCATTATTTTCGTTTATTATCATTATTTGATCTATGACTATTATTACTACATTTACTATTATCAGTATTGTAATTATTGATATTATCATTATTACTATCATTATAATCATCATGATTATTGTCATTATATTTGCTATGGCTCTTATTATTACCATTATTATTATCATTCTTCTTATTATTATCATTATCATTATTATCATTATAATTATCGTTACTATTATTTTTTTCATTACCATTATCATTATCCTTTTTATTACTGCTATCATCATTATCATTGTCATTATCATTACTATTATCATTATTATTATTATCATTATCAGTTTTGTTGTTGTTGTGCTTATTGTTGTTATTATTGTTAACATTTTCATTATTATTATTGTCGTTAGTATGATAATGTTGTTAATGATAATTACCATTTTTGGTATTACTACCATTATTGTTTTAGTTATAATCATTGGAATTACTGTATTTATTTCTATTATTGTTATCATCTTTATTTTTCTCGTTATTATTATTATTATTATTATTATTATTATTATTACTATCATAGTGGTTATCAGTATTGTTATTGCTATTATCATTATTATTATCATCATTGCTATAATTGTCATTATTTTCTACACTCATTATCAGTTCCATGAAAATCACTATCATCATCATCATCATTATCATCAATGTCATCATCATTACCACCATCATCACTATTTCCATCATTAGCATTATCATTCATCACTATTTCAGTCATAACCATTACAATTACACTTGCTAGTATTCGTACCCTTTATTATCATTGTAATCACTATCATTATCGATGATATCTTGAAAAAACAACTAATCTACTAACGTTCAGACTGATATTTCTCTTTTTTCTAATAATTCTATTATTCTTCTATGTTTTTGAGGCTCCATTTTCATTTCGACCATAACTACAAACCTCTCTTAAAATAATGTTATAACTGTCATCATCACTATGATTGTTGTTATATCAGACATTATCTACTTTATAATTCGTATTAGCTAATATTACCATACCATTACATCTTCCTCAGTTGTGGCTCATGTTGTTTTTATCTGTCATGTTCGTCTGTGTCTCGACCTGGTTGCTTCTGCGCTCATACGCTGTCATGTGAGTTTATTGGTATTTCTCTCTCGGTATTTGTTAGGTGATTTAAATCTCCCGCTTTTTTCTTTCTTTTTTCTTCCCTATTTTAGTTTTTCTCTCCCTCTCTCTGTCTTTGTCTGTCTGTCTGTCTGTCTGTCTGTCTGTCTGTCTGTCTGTCTGTCTGTCTCTGTCTCTGTCTCTGTCTGTCTCTGTCTCTGTCTCTGTCTCTGTCTCTCTCTCTCTCTCTCTCTCTCTCTCTCTCTCTCTCTCTCTCTCTCTCTCTCTCTCTCTCTCTCTCTCTCTATATATATATATATATATATATATATAATATATATATGTATATATATACACATACATACATACATATACTATATGTATATGTATGTATGTATGTCTATGTATATGGGTAAGTATACATGTATATAATGTACGTATAGACCAGTTTCATTGTTTTTGTTGGCATCACATGCGCGCTCATATCAACAGGCAGAAAGCCTCTCTTTCTACAAAATACCATAAAAGGACTGAATGAATTTGCGTGTTCATACGAAACATTTGGAAAAACGTTGGTCAGAGGAACAGATCTCCAGACAGAAAGTTTGCGGCGTACATTTTGTCTCGGGCAAGTGTTGGCATTTTTGACAATAATGCATTTTGCACTGTCCAATGTTATATTTCGTTTATTAATATCAAATGTCAAATTTTGAATATTTAAACCAATGTAGTTCTGTATTAATACGGCATTAGGTCATAACTGCGTTGATTAGAATTGGTATTCATTTATTTCCAGATAAAATAACAGAAAATTATGACAATGTTGACTGAGTTCTCAAACAGTATCAACATAATGAAGAAGTGATATTGGAAAAGGCAAAGAAGGTGAAATACAATGATAGATAAAAAAAGGAAAGAGCAAATATTTTGTAAACAAACCGGAATTACACCATAAAAAGAAAATAATAAAAACTTAATTAAGATTTCTTTTTTTTCTAGTACTCAGCTTTCTTTGTGTGTCCATCAGGTGTTTCGACAGAATATGGATCCTCCATATAACTTCCTTTGAAAGTAACAAACAACATTCGTTTCCCATTCTAAACTCTTCGACGGTAGTTAGGTTTCATAAAATGAACAGCAAGTCACTCAAACGCGAAAAAAGTCAACAGCGAACACACGAATAATAATTTCTGTCTCTCCGTATGCGCGCGCAGCTTTTCTTTGATGCCGCGGAAGTCATGCATTATGCACAGACACACGCAAAGGTTTGTCGTCATTTTATTCTTCCTGTTTATGCTCATATCCATCAACGGCATTTCTCTCTCACGGGCAATCCGTGCACTCATATTTCAAAACTAAAAGGAATATATCTGTTGAAAAATTGCCTACTTACCATCACACATTTAAGTTAACGCTGTTGATAGTTTACCCATTTTCTCTACAGGACTAAAGGTAGAAAACGACATGATTCAAGGGGAAACAACGGTAAAGAGCGAGCAGCCGAGAGGTCCCTGCTGTGGACAGTATGCCATTTGATCAACCAGCGTGAGTATATATATATATATATATATATATATTATATATATATATATATATATATATATATATATTATTTGGCAACCCCACAGGCTATATATATATATATATAATATATATATATATATATATATATATATATATATATATATATATATATATATATGTGTGTGTGTGGTGTGTGTGTGTGTGTGTGGTGTGTGTGTGTGTGTGTGTGTGTGTGTGTGTGTGTGTGTGTGTGTGTGTGTGTGTGTGTGCGTGTGTGTTGTGTATGTGTGCGTGTGTGCACAATACACACACACTGATCACTGACTTACAAGAACATGGCAATACCAATTAAGGTGGCCGCACTACATATACTAATAAGATTGTTGGGGACAGATTGTGCTTTCATTGAAATTGAAAGGTTGCTTTTCCAGGGGGTTAGGAAAGTATGCTTCGTTTGTACGGCGAAATACCCCTAGGAAAGGGGTCCACGGCTTGACCCCGGTAAGGAAAATACCGAATGAAAGGGGCCCGGGTTAGGTCAGGTTAGGTTAAGATATTTTGTTGGGATTTCGGCAATATCGACTCGGATTTTGCATTTTTTTCAAAATTTATATTTCTATTTTCCTGTGTGTGCCCCCCCCCCATTCAACCCCGATTCCCCACGGGTCCCCAAGAGTGAAAGGGTAGGAAAAGAAAAAAAGAAGAAGAAGAAGAAGAAGAAAAAGGCGGGGCGTTCATAATATTACCGAATACTTCACTGCTCTCCCTGGTCTCGTGCGTGACTCGCTCCCCCTCCCCAGCTGTCCCCTGGGAGCCCACAGGGTACGCCCCAAGGATCCTGGGCGGCCTGTGGCTCCTGGTGGCTTCATCCTGGGCGTGGTGTACCGGGGCAACCTCAAGGCCATGCTCATCCTGCCGACCCTGGAGCTGCCCTTCAACAACCTGCAGGAGCTGGCCGACTCCGACGAGGTCATCTGGTCTCCCAGGAAGCCACGTGGCCCATCAGTTGCTCATGGTGAGGAGTGCTTCTTATTTTTGTTACATTTTTTTGATAGTATTATTTGGAGTTATTACTTTTCTCCAAAAGTGTCCTAACTGTAAGTGTGGTAGGGGAGAGTTTCGTCAGCAATATGATTCCAAGCAGTTGTGGATATGGGATTACACCGTATTATATATACCGTATATATATAGTATATATATATATATATAATATATATATATATATATATATTATATTATATTATTATATATGTATAATATATATATATATATAATATATTATATATATATATATATATATATATATATATATATATAATATATATATATATATATATTATATATATATATATATATATATATATATATATATATATATAATATATATATTATATATACTATTATATAAAATATATATATATATATACATAATATTCCTCTTCTTCCTCTCCCTCAGGGCTTCCCCGCCAGACCTCTCCTACGGCGCCCTGGCCAGAAGACCTTCGTTGACCTGGACATACGGAGGACTTCGGAGGATGTTCGAGGAGAATATCGCGGTCCTCGCTCCTCTTCCGGGCTTCGTCCTCTAGATCCATGCTGAGTTCCTGCGGTAAATTATGAGGAGGGGGAGGAGGGAGGGGAAGAGGAGAGAGAGGAAGAGGGGAAGAGAGAGAAGGGAGGGAGAGGAAGAGGGTAAAGGAGGAAGAAGAGGGAGAAGAGGGGAGAGAGGGAAAGGGAAAGGGGGAGGGGTTGTAAAGAAGGAAGGGAGGGAGGGGGGAGGGGAAGGGAGGAAGAAGAGAGAAGAGGGGAGGGAGGAGAAGGAGGGAGGGAAGAGGAGGGGAGGAGAAGTAGGAAGGAGGGGAAGGGAAGGGAGGGGAGAAGAGGGGAGGTAGAAGAAGGAAGAAGGGAGAGAGAGAAGGAGGAGAAGGGGGAAGGGGAGAGGAAGGAGAAGGAGAGGGGGAGAGAGAGGAGAGGGGTAGGAAAAGGTAGAGGGGGAGGGGAGGAAAGGAGGAGGAAGGAGGGGGAGGAGAGGGGAGAGTAGAAGGAGAGAAGAAGAAGGGGAGAGGAGGAGTGGAGAGAAAGGAAAGAGGGGGGAGAAGGGAGGGGAGGAAGG